GCTACAGCTCGCCAGATCTGACCCGGGTGAGAGACGAAAAGGTGTGAGTCGGTGCGGACGACACGCGAAGGAGAGGTGGATGACGACGAGACGGCGCCCATGGCGGCTGCGTGATATGGCGAACGAGACTGGGGATGGCGTGACGCCCGGCAATGACCGAGTGCTTTCTGAGGCTGGGGATGGCGCGGCGGTGCTGAGGCAGCAAGCACCGGTCGGCGACGCGAAAGAGGAGATGGCGTACGGAGACGGTGTCATGGTGCCGGTGGCGGCAAGTTTGGGCGGTGACGCGACGGACGACGTGTCGCGGGCGTACAGAGCGCGCGGGGCGTCGGCGGTACGGCCAGTAATCGCGAGTGTGTTGACGCACGGGACCTGTTGGTGGCGTGTGGCTACACGGGTGCTGGACCAGGACGAAGTGGCGGAGGTTGTCGAAGCACAGCTACGCGAGTGGAGAAAGATTTACGAGCATGATACCGTCGACGGCGCCGGACAGCAAACGGCGGGACGCGACGACGACAGCGGCACTCCACGATGCGTAGAGGCCGAAATGACCACGGAGCTTCGTAGGCGTGATGAGGAGCGGGATCGGGTGCTGGCAGTGAAAGCACGAGACGAGAAACGAGAGCGTACGCGGGCCGAGGAAGCTGTCCGGTGGGAAAGTAAGCGCGCGAAGCGTGTCAAGCGTACGAAAGCCCGCCGATTGAGGTGAACCGAGCGTGAAGGGCTGGCGGTGGCGATGGCTAGAGACGGCGTCGAGGGGACGGTGATGTCGATGCGCGAGCACAAACAATCGGAGACACGATGGAGGCGGTATTGTGCTGGAGAGCGACGTGGTGATGCCGGAACCAACGGCGGAATTCCTACGGGCCTTGGGTTGGAGTGCGACGGCAGCACGGTTGCTGGGTGAGCTCAGAGCCGTTGATGAGGCGTTGAAGGTCGGTTACGCGGCCCTCGCGGTGGCTGAGGCTAGGCGACAAGAAGTACTGGCTGCGGGTGGCGTGGTTGGCTGTAACGACGTGAGAATCGGGGTGGCACAACAGTTAGTACTGGCCGCCGCCGGGCTCGACGCCATCGGAGAAAGTGACTGGACGAGAGCGCACGAGACGCCGTTGCAGCGATCGAGGGATTTGAGATGCGCGTACGGAAGGCGCACCCTCATAACGAGATGCGCACTGCGAGCACAGTTAGCGACGGCGACGCACCCCGGCGGTGCGTACTTCGAGTTCGACGAATCGCGAGGATCAGGCCCAAGTGCCGCCCGAGGATTGAGTCGAGGTGAATCGGAGGTGATCGGTTTCGTGCTACCGATCGCGACGGAGAGGCTGCTGAGGGAAAGAAGGCGCGCAGGGACGCGATGAGGGTGTACCAGTACCGCAGTGGTAGCGTGTACGCGCACCCGAGCGTGAAGGTGCTAAGCAAAGGACGGCGGCCAATGAGAGTCGGGCAGCTGAGGGCAGTTCAGGTGCCAGCGGTCGTCGCATTACCAACAGCACGAGTAGAAGTGGGTGGTGAGCCACGAGAGATCAAGTTGGATACAGGCGCACAGTATAGTGTCGCCGGTGAGTCGTGGAGGTCATTGGTTGAGCGCCTTAACGTGCTCCCACCCGTGGATTACGTAGAAGGTTTCACAGGTGCGGTGTCGAAAGTGCGCGGGGTCTGGCGCTTTCGATTCCGTACGCAGTACGAGCAGGCGGTGGTTGATGCGCTGGTGGTGGAAGGTGCGACCACGGAGTTCCTATTGGGAGAGGACTGGATGCTACAGAACGGGGTCAAGATCGACTTCACCGCGTGCGAGATGAAGTGGTTCTGCTGCGACGAGAAGAGGATTGTGCCGTTCAGCTGCAGCAGCGACGGGCACGACGAGACCGCGACGAAAGTCAGGATGGTGAGGGCCACAAAGGGCATGGCGAACACGTGTCGACGGGTGGAGTTAGCAGTGGCAGCGCCAGAGGGCACGACGGGCTTGTTAATGCTGCCCGACGCGTAGAGCCACACCTGGTGTTAGCTCCAACCCTGACGACGGATTGTAATGGAAAAGTGGCGGTTCCGGTGATGAACCTGGTTGGCGGCAGAACAAAACTACCAGCACAAGAGCTATTAGGAACGTGGGCTCCGACCACGAACGACATGGAAGTACTGGAGGTTGCAGGAGCGCTGGGCCGTGATAGTATGAAGACGTTGCTCCAGGGCCTCGGAATAAACAAGGGGGCTTTAAGTAACGAAGCCGAGTTAGACATCGGTGACATGAAGGAAGCAGACAAGGAGTTACTATTGACATTGTTACAATACTACCCGGCGCTACAACCGAGGGAAGGTTGGCCACCGATGACGACGCTGGGAGTGAAATACGAGATTAAAACTGGGAACGAAGCTCCGATCAAGGTGCGGCCACGACGGCACGCTCATGAGGAACAGCAGATCATCGACGACAACGTCGAATCGATGGTGAAGGACGGCGTAGTGGAGGAGAGCTACGGCGCGCGGGGCTTTCCCGTCGTGCTCGTGAAGGAGAAGGACGGGTCGGTACGATTTTGTATCGACTACAGGCTACTGATTGCGATCACTAAGAGGGACGTGTACCCTCTCCCGAGGATCGACGACACGCTCGACAACTTGTACGGAGCGAGGCGGTTCACCAGCTTGGACCTGCACTCGGGGTACTGGCAGGTGCCCGTGGCGGAACGAGACAGAGATAAGACGGGTTTTGTCACCAGGAAGGGGCTCTTCCGGTTCGTGCGCATGCCGTTTGGGCTGGCTAATGCCCCAGGGACTTTCCAGAGGATGATGGACGCGGTGCTGCGGGAACTTACGTGGCAGACGTGTTTAGTTTATCTAGATGGCGTGATGGTATTCACGAAGGGCGGTGTGGCACGGCACGTGGTGGAGCTGGCCACGGTGCTCGAGAGGCTCTCACGAGCAGGGCTCTCATTGAAGGCGAAAAAATGCACGTTCGCGGCGGAGAGACTAGAGTACCTGCCACGAGTTGGATGCCTATGGAGTGAGGCCGATGCAGAGCCTCGTAAGCAGTGTGAACGACTTCCCGGTCCCGAACGACGCGACCGAGGTGAAGCGGTTCGTGCACATGGACGGTTATTACAGAAGGTTCGTGCCGGACTTCGCGAGTAAGGCAGCACCGCTCACTAAACTACTAAGGAAGGGCGTAGTGTGGCGCTGGTGTGATGGCCAGCAGCAAGCGTTCGAGGAATTGAAGAATGCACTGACAGAAAGGCCACTGCTGGCGTACCCGGACTTTTCGAAGCCGTTCCGGCTAGTGTCGGACGCGTCTATGACGGGGTTAGGCGCGGCACTGGTACAGGACCAGGACGGTGGTGAGCAGCCGGTTACGTACGCGTCGAAGGTGAATTCAGAGACGGTGGCCAAGTATAGTATTACCGACTTGGAGTGCGCCGCGGTGATCTGGGCCGTGATGCTGTTTCGCCCCTATCTATACGGACGGCGTATTGAGTTGGTGACGGACCATGCGGCCCTAAAGTGGCTAATGGCAAGCAAGGATCTGACAAGAAGGTTGCACCGCTAGGTTTTGCAGCTCCAGGAGTACAACTTCCAGGTGGTGCATCGGCCAGGATCGAGCAACGTGGTGGCCGACGCTCTTTCACGGGCGCCGGTCGACGTGGTGGTGCCGGCCAACGCGGTGGTACCGGCGAGCACGGAGGTTCCGGCGTACGCGGAGACAGCTGAGCACATTAGCACTGAACAGGCGACGGAGGAATCGAACGAGACGGTGCAACTACCGGCTAACAACAAAGGGCAGTTGACGGACGTCGAGATCCGGGCGGAACAGGCGAGTGACGAGACGGTTAAGAAGTCGAAGGCAAAGGGCAGGTACGGCCAGCGGAAAATCGTGGTGAAAAACGGCGTGGTGTGTATCCAGATGGGTGACGGCGGCAGCCGCGTGGTGCTTCCGACGGCCCTGTGGGCCAGAGCTCTGCGGGAAAACCATGACTTGGTGTACGCGTGCCATCTTCGGACGCCACAGACGTACGCCAGGATAGCGGCGACTTACTGGTGGCCCGATATGGTACAGCATGCGCGTATGTGGGTGCAGTCCTGTCGGGACTGTGGATCAAGGAAAGCGAAGGCCAAGGAGGTTGTGCCTCCACTAAGGAGCCAAGGGGTCGGTAGCCCTGGCGACCGGTGGGCACTGGATGTGGCGGGGCTTTGGCAGTCACCCAGAACGGCAACCGCTACGTGATAGCAGCGGTGGACTACGCGACTATGTACGCCGTGGTCGCGGTGTTGCCGCACCACACGGCCAAGGACGTGGTCGGGTTCGTCGTGGAGAGGCTGGTGTTCGTGCACGGGCCGATGCGCGAGATCGTGATGGACGGAGCGCCCGAGTTGAACGGGAAGATCGTGAAAGAGCTAGTGAGATCGCTGCAGGCGCGACAGCTCACGCCTGTACCGTATCGACCGGCCTTGCTCGGGCTGGTGGAGCGTTTTCATAGGACCTGGAAAGATATGGTGCCGATCTACACGACCGAAGGGAGAGACGACTGGGACCGGTGGCTGCCCTGTGCACCATACGCGTACAATGGAGCACGGTACTCCGGTACGGGGTCCAGCCCCAATGAGTTGATGCTGTGACGTCGACTGAAGACGCCGAACGAGCTACCGAGGACGAGCGGAGTCACACAGACGGGGCCCTTCGCAGGGTACCACAAGCAATTGGTGAGCAACATGGAGAAGGTGACGAGAGCGGCTCGCGCGGTGATCGCAAGGGACCAGTTAGCACCGGGAGCGCTACTACAACAAACGCGTCCGTCAGGCAACGACGTTCAAAGTAGGAGACTTAGTGTGGGTGGTGAGACCGCCACGAGGTCAGGACGTTACAAAATTGGCACACCGGTGGGTCGGACCGGCCAAGATTGTACAAAGTGCGGGATATGACAATTGGGAAGTTGTCCGTGAGGACAACGGTGAGAGAATGATTGTTCACTGTAGCTTCCTAGTGTCGAGCAGATGCTCGAGTAACTCGTTGGGTGTGGTGGCGGACCGCATCTTGGCAGAGCTAGCCGCGGAGGAGGACGTAACGGAGGAACGGGATGGTGGTACGACAATGCAGCAGGAGCCGTTGGCAGTGGCGGCCGCGACCGGCGGAGAAGACGGGGATGGTGAACGGCGAGACGGTGAGCAAAGCCCTGGCGGGCGTGAGCAACGGGATGGCAAGCAACGGGAAGACGACGGGAACGCCAGTAGAGAAGGCGAGGCGGACGAAGGAGCTCGCACGGGCGGTACGACCGCAGAAGTTGAGACGCTACGAGGCAGGGGCACGCAGAGGCGACCGGAGCCGATGCCCGCACCCTTGCAAGCGGCGACGGCTGGCTACATTGTTGAGAGAGCAAGACGAAGAGTACGGAAACGGGCGGGGCACTACACGCTCGATCCCCGGGTCGAGTACAGCACACAACGTGGGCGGCCGAGTGGGTGGCGGTAGCTCCCGCACGAGGCGTTCGAGGAATAGGACGACGTCAGCAAGATCAAGGGCGATCTTGGAGCCGGGGATGGCGTGTAGTAGGGTGACCTACGATGCGGCCTCGACGAACTGGCAGGGGTGGCAAGTTGAAGTGATCGACTTAACGGTCGACACTGGCGTGGACGACACCAGTTAGTTCGGTGGCGAGTGAGTGTTGTGGATGCAGTGCGG